CTAATATATGCAGAGAGGGGGTTTTGAACTAAATTTTATTTAGCGCATGGAATTGTGGTCGTGCGCGATTTCTATGCGCAGAACACACATTTTAAACTCGCTCAACTCGAGTGTTTGATTTTTATCGAATTTCTGAAGCTTTTTCAAGTCTACTGTTACGCTTACATTTGTTTTGGACTTTGGCCACTGTCAGTTCTATATTTTGATCAAGTTTTGGTTTCTTAGTGTGATAAATCTGTGTATGAAATCTGATCTTAATTTACCTGTATGTCAATGAGACGCACATGTTTAATATCTGTCACCCCTGATTGCCCTTTAACCCCTGGTCTTTGCTACTTCAATATATATTGCTTCTTCTCAGTTCCATTCACAGCTCACTAGTCGCTGCGAGTAATCACTGTGCTTGATATAATTTCTGCTGTTTACTGTAGTTACATTTGCTTTTAATGCCCGCAGCAATTCCTACCTTGCAGGTACCCTAGTTTATTTCTGTGCTTTGATTCTCGTCAGGTGTTATCGAGCGCGTCATGGTTGTCTACAAACCACTTAACGACGTTATTCCTGAATTTCTACAAACCTTTTACATTCGAGCATATCCTTTACCGAACTAAATACGGGTAAGATATTTTGCATTCATAATACCTTGTATTAAACTATAAACTTCGTTTATGATAGATACTGTCACTTCCAATACTACTATACTAATAATACCTACTGTCACTTCCTTATGATAGATACTTGTTCACTTCCTAGAGGTCCATCAAAGCCACACATGTTAGACCATGCAGTATTACTAGAGGAGAAAACAGCAATAAAACAGCAATATTTTGGTTACACCAAAATCATAGGAAAAACCAAGAAGTCGGGCTTCTGTTTGTCTCTATTCTGTGGTAGAGTTAGGGTTCTGGCTTCTGTTTGTCTCTATTCTGTGGTGGAGTTCGGGTTCTGGCTTATGTCTCTATTCTGTGGTAGAGTTAGGGTTCTGGCTTCTGTTTGTCTCTATTCTGTGGTAGAGTTAGGGTTCTGGCTTCTGTTTGTCTCTATTCTGTGGTAGAGTTAGGGTTCTGGCTTGTGTTTGTCTCTATTTTGTGGTAGAGTCGACTGGAAGTATTCTTCTCACATGACCCCTTCACTCTTACGTGCTAAAACATTTGCATTGTATATTTTAGTGAATTTCTGCAAGTGATTTTGACTGGAGCCACGAGTACGGAGATTTTAATTTGTACTACTAACCTGGAAAGTGAAAGCGAAGATGATCTCAATCGTGCGAAGTTAATACCGCTTCATGCTCCCACTCCTCAGGTACATTGCTGTTATTTTTTTTAAATGAACTAACTTTATTTCTACTGGATAGCTCTATCAGTTCTAAGCTGTTCTTCCTAGAGGTCCAGTAAGAGTCATTTCTTATTGATCCAGTGCTACTACAGGAGGAAACCTGAACTAAACTAACTTTATTTATACTGGATAACTCAATCAGTTCTAAACTGTTCTTCCTAGAGGTTCAGTAAGGATCATCTCTTATTGATCCAGTGTTACTACAGGAGGAAACCTAAACTACACTAACTTTATTTATACTGGATAGCTCTATCAGTTCTAAACTGTTCTTCCTAGAGGTCCAGTAAGGATCATCTCTTATTGATCCAGTGTTACTACAGGAGGAAACCTAAACTACACTAACTTTATTTATACTGGATAACTCAATCAGTTCTAAACTGTTCTTCCTAGAGGTCCAGTAAGGACCGTCTCTTATTGATCCAGTGCTACTACAGGAGGAAACCTGAACTAAACTAACTTTATTTATACTGGATAACTCAATCAGTTCTAAACTGTTCTTCCTAGAGGTCCAGTAAGGACCATCTCTTATTGATCCAGTGCTACTACAGGAGGAAACCTGAACTAAACTAACTTTATTTATACTGGATAACTCAATCAGTTCTAAACTGTTCTTCCTAGAGGTTCAGTAAGGATCATCTCTTATTGATCCAGTGCTACTACAGGAGGAAACCTAAACTACACTAACTTTATTTATACTGGATAGCTCTATCAGTTCTAAACTGTTCTTCCTAGAGGTCCAGTAAGGATCATCTCTTATTGATCCAGTGTTACAACAAGAGGAAACCTAAACTACACTAACTTTATTTATACTGGATAACTCTATCAGTTCTAAACTGTTCTCTCAAGAGGTCCAGTAAGGGTCAACTCCTTACAACCTGAACTAAATTAACTTTATTTATACTGGATAACTCTATCAGTTCTAAACTGTTCTCTCAAGAGGTCCAGTAAGGGTCATCTCCTTACAACCTGAACTAAATTAACTTTATTTATGCTGGATAACTCTAGCAATGTTTCCGTAGCTCCCTCTGGTAATTATGTACTTGGCTGACAGTCACAAGCTGTGAGCACCTACTTACTAAGTCTGGATAGATCAATCCCCGCTTGGACGTCCAAAAAAGGCTTTCCTAGTTGGTCCAGTGTTGCTAACCACCCATGCTATGCTATACACTTTTTTGTGTAAATCTTATCTTTTATTACAGGTCTTATATTATCAAGGTGAACTTTCTTTTGTTTGGCGTGTGACAAAAGGTAAGTTTAAGTAAATTTTTTTTTTCATTTTTGCAAATACCAAAATGTTATTCACAAGAACTTGTCAGGGCAAATCCGTTTTGTTTGTTTTGCAGAATTTATGGGTGTGTCAAACTTTGTTCTGCATCTTGATTATTGTTCCAGAATTAACGGAGAGGTACGTATCTGTAACCTCCTTTTTTGAGTGGGTATTCGATGATTATTGATTTTGACTCCCATCTGATAGAGAAGGTGCATTCTGGACAGCCAGGGCTTGTGTTGTCTTCAAATTTTTCAATTCCTCCTTTCACCACCACCACAAACGTATACCAGAAATGCCATGAATGCAGTAAAAACATTATGTACTAGTTGATTCTGAATTTAATTGATTATTAATTCTCTGAATTATTAATTTATTCCGAATTATTAATTATCTGAATTATTAATTATCTGAATTTCTCTGAATTTGGTGGTTGAGTATTGTTCCCAGCGGAATGAACTTGTGTCTTCATTTATTTTCTAGGCAGGGGACAAATACACATATAAGCACTCTTTTAAAGTTTGAGTATGTAAAGATACATGTACTACTATATTGTGGTTGTACGGTTAGTTGGACCCATACCAGTTCATTGCCATTTATGCGAGTGTTGGAGCATTATTATCATGTTACGTTGGACTGGGCCTGAAAGCGTGCAAAGCTTAAACATCGACTGAACCTCCAGACATGGTTAATGGTTTGATCTGTGATCGTTCATACACTTTGATCAAATATTTGAGGAGCTGGTTGATTAAAACTGCACAAAATTTCATTGCGGACTCAACATGTCATCTCGATAAATATTGATTAGGATTTCTTAATTTGAAATTTATATGAATGTGTAATAGGTACGACACGAGACTGCGAGTTATAGATTTTGTTAAGTCGAAGAACCACTTTCAATGCATGTGTATGCCAATTTTGAAATATAAAACTTGTTCAGGACAAGTATATTGGTTCAAAAGATTGGAAGAACAGTTTTTAAAATTTGAAAAGAAAATAAATTTAGAGAGCCATCAAGTGTCCAAACAAAGTTCACTTTAATTTAGACAGTTGCAAATAATTCATATTTAAGGCATTTTAATAAAAGAGATTTTAATTAAAATGCGGCAAAGATATGTATTACGTGAACAATTAACACTCTTTTAACTGTTTATATTATAAATAACATCTATAACAGTATATTGGCATGAAACTTCTGAACCACTTAAGCCCTGGGCAAACTAGGAAAAATTTGTGATTCTCGATGTTTCCTCAAATGTTTCCTTGTTTGCCCACCCGTGGAAACATTATTGCGGAAACAAAATTTGCTTCCCGAGGAGCAAAAATGTTTCCTAGCGAATTCAGAAACATTTGATGTTTCCCTATGATTCTCACTAATGTTTCCTAGTGTTTGCCCACTCTGGGAAACATGGCGAAACATTGGCAGGAAACAATGTTTCCGCAACAATGTTTCCTAGTTTGCAATTTTGACTCTAAAATATTGAAAAATCGTGGATACAGTATCCGCTCATATGCGCACGCACGCTATATATGTGGGATGTGATAGGGTATAGACTCCTTTCTAACCAAGTTCGACTTGTTCGAGAAATGCTCTCAATTCACTGAGCTCCATATATCTGGAACGAGAACTCGAGTCCAAAAGGCGTAGCCAAGGTCTCTACATGTCTATGGTTTGTAAAGGTTTTCGTTATAATATTCTTTAACTAGGGATTGTGTGATGAATGAAGTAAAAGCTATATATTTCTCAGGTAATTTGAGCCTTACTATAACAATTAAATCGTCATGGTCTACTTATCTCCAATCACATGTCAGCATTTGGATAAAGAGAAATCAGATATTCAAATTTCGCAATAGTGTTTTCCCAGAATAGATTCTTTCTCCACGAAGACAAAGTTATTTCGTCGGTGACTTTAAAAAGTGTTTTGCCTTTTCCTACCAAGCCAAAAGTTTTTCCTAGTGCATTTATAACGCAACACAATGAGCTCCAATGATTTGCTATCGAAATTTGATGATTTGGTCAAGCGTTTTAGAGAGGAATTTGGCGAAATTGTCGAAGCGGAGCGAGCTAAAATGAAGGCGGAAATAGAAGCGTATAATGCCGAGAAGCAAAGAATGAAAGCAGCCGACGTTAGCGACGATGATATCATTCGTCTAAACATTGGTGGACAAAAACTGACCACCGCAAGATCTACTCTGTGTCAAGTAGAAGGTTCCTTACTCGCCACCATGTTCAGTGGTAGGTGGGAAGATAGTCTCAAGCGTGATGAAGATGGCGCAGTGTTCTTTGACTTCAACCCACTATATTTTGGTTTCATTTTGGACTATTTGCGCGCAAAAAAAATCGCGACTCCAGAGAGCCCCGCACCATTGCCAAAAGTCCCTGATGATCAAATGAAACATTTCACTAATCTTCTCGAATATCTCGGCTTGGCTGATGAAATCGTCCCCACTGAGATTGCGCCTGACGTGAAACAAAGCGAGAAATTCAATTTGTGCAGCCCTGAAATTACTCTTCAGGAAGAGAAGAAAGTTGCAGTTCATGATTCAAATGCAGGGCATAGACATGTTCTGGGTGAAAATATTTACCAACGTGGAATTGTCCATTTCAAGTTGAAGTTAGAGTCCTTTCAAAACAACCATTGGGTCATGGTAGGCATAGTGAGAGCGGATGTTGTACCACAGTTACAAAGTCGCAGTTCATATGGCTGGCCTGGTTCAATTGGATGGGCACTCGGGTACGGTGGTCAAGTGTATAAAGACGGCTCAAGTTCAATTAACGACTCATTAAGAAAACTATCCAAACAGGGTGACACGGTTGAGTTAGTCTTGGATTGCGATGCAGGCAAGCTGTCACTACATTTACCCACTGGTCATCAATTTCACATCGAAATACCAAAGCCGCAAACCTGGAGGCTTCATGTAAATTTGCACGGTGCAAATGATAAAATACGTATTGTCGAAGTTACACAAACTTAAAGAAATACCAAGTACAGTTTTTCTGTTTGTAAAATGTATCTAATCTGTACTCATAGACGAAGAAGCACCGCTCTATATAAATATAAACAAAGTCAGTGTAGTTTTGTTTTATAGTTCAGTTTACACAGGCAGTTGCTAATATGTTTTACTTATACTACA